CCCCTCTTCCCCTTGACCTCCTGAATTTGGGGGACCAAATTGTGCCGCACAGTGCCATGGAACGGCAACAAAGTTCGGAATTCCATCGTTCCCCGGGATCATCGTTATTTAAGGAAAACGTCGCGGATCGTGGAACCCTTCCACAACCAGCAACTGACGACAGGGATGTCGAACGGGAACGGGAACGCGCTGCTCAGGAAGTGGCTTTCGAACGCGACTATATAATCGTAGAAAAGAGGGCCGTGGAAGTGAATGCGTTTGCTGATGAGCTGGCCGCAAGTCCACGTATACGGCAACAGGGCCAAGGGTTGGCGCGTCCGGCCGCGGGAGTCATGCCGCGGCGTGCTACCACCGCTGCTCACTCACCGAATCCCTCGCAAAACGCCTCCTCCCGTGCCTTGCAATTGGTTACTGGGAGGCCGCGAGCAGACTCCAATCACAATCGGCAGAGTTCGTACGAACGGAGATACGGCCCGAGCCCTAACTCTGCAACCTCCGCGATCTCCAAAGCATTGAATATGGCCAGCGGGCGGTTGTTTGGTGTTGGATTTTCTCCCCCGTTAACCGTAACGAAAGGCGGAAGATCCCCACCACTAGCATACAACCCTTTCCCCGTGTATCCACTTAGCCCCCAAGGTAACCTAGTCGTTGTCGGAGACGGAGCTAAGACGCAAATCGCTCTCGACGAGGATACGAAAACAGTCCAGATTATCGAAGAATGTGCGACACGGAGCGACGTTGTTTATGGATTTGCGGAAGTCAAATACAAACAGTTGATACCCCTGGCTCCGTCTATGCAGCCTGCAACAGCTATTCACCCCGGTACCGTTTCTCCAGATATGGAAGTTGATCCTTCCCAGTCAACCGACGGTGGACTCACTACCGACGCCATTGTGACCCTTTCCCAGGAGGCCCTGGTTCTCTACGTTAAAGCCCTCTCCCTGCTTGCAAAATCGATGGATATTGCTGGTGCATGGTGGGCGCGAAAGAACACTGGGGAAGTTGTTGGCATTAGCGGTGGTTCATCTTCGAGTTCGGGGAACAACAATAACGGCAATGGTAATACAAACCCCACCGTTGGTGCCAGGGTGAATAACGTCGTGCAGTGGGTCCGAAACCGCTTCAATGAGGTTCTGGAGAAGGCAGAGTTTGTGAGGCTAAAGCTTTTGGAGGCCCAGAAGCGGCTTCCTACTGATCATCCCTCACACCCAAGTAACAACGGTAACCATTCGTATGGATCCGATGCAGGACTGGGACTGGGGACATCTGTTGATCAGATCGTCGTGAGCTCCGGGATCACTGCGGAGAAGCTTATATATGACCGCGCGCTCGAGATGAGTCGAACTGCTGCCATTAATGAGCTGACGGGCGAGGATTTGCCTGGGTGTGAAATTGCGTATGTCACTGCTATCAGGATGCTGGAGGCTATTTTGGAAAATGATGAGGAAGTGCTGTCGAAGGGACCTGGTCAGGGTGAGAAAGCCGGTATGGCAAGTGGGGGCATTGATAATGAAGTTATCAATGGGGTGCAATTGGAAGATCGGCAGATTGTGGCTAAACGTGAGCTTTCTTCTTTCTTTCTTTCTTTCTTGCTTTCTTTTTGCTCTCTTGGTGTTTTCGATTCAAGTTCCCCGCTTTTGTCTTTCTTTCAATGGGATACCCGTTTCCCAACTAACTTCCCAATTACAGTCGTCGCCAGCATCCGCACTCGTCTCACAGACTTACGAAAGAAAATGGCCCTGATGACCAAAAGATCCTCCGCCCCGCCAGTTGTTCAAAGCAAAGTCACCGGCATATCGTCGCATCTTCGCAGACCTACTTCGCCCGTTGTCACCGCCTCCGCTTCACCACGGTGAGACGCGATCACAAGCCATCTCGGCTGGCTTCTCCTCTGTGCTTTTTCATTATATGCCTGTGTTCTGTGAGCTAGGCATGAAAGCAATGTGGCAGCAACTCAAGTACCGCGTACTTGTGTATGTATGTGTACTGGCTTTTGATCGCAGAGACGATACCATTAGATACCATTGATCGTGGTTTGTCGCCCCAAGTGAGCGTTTTGGTTGGAAAAGAAACCCTTTCCACCCTCTCTCTCCGTGAGATTCATCTTACTATTGGCTAGCCTCTCGCAGCCAAAAGTTTGAGCCGCGATTCCAATGCCAATCACATTCGTCCTCGTTTTTATTTCTATGGGATGAATACGAACAAATTAAGAATCTTGTGCCGCTGTCTCCCAGCCGCAAAGGGATTCCTTGCCCGTCCGTCAACTGCCCCGTCCCGTAGAATTTTTTTTTTTTTTTTTTTAATCTTTTCACCTTTTTTTTCTTTGCACTTGACGTTATTCATCCCTCTCCTCTACCTTATTTTTTGCCCATTGTTCTGACTTTCCTCATATATTCATGGCTATTCTATACCCCCCAGGTGTGCATGTTCCTAATCTTCTCCCTATCTCTCTCTCTCTCTCTTTTTTTTTCTTCTTCTTTTTCTTTTTAACCGCCTCCTTCTCTCTCAAGTGTGTTCTGGCGCTTTTCTTAACGTTAATTTCATTTAACACCTGGGAAACCAGCATCAAATCATGGATCATCAGTTGACTAATCTTTGGTGAGTTGGGAAACAATGCTTGTAACGGGTCTGCGGGGGGCTTGAGGGGATTTTCCTTTTTGCTCCTCTCCATCTTTTTTTTTTTTTTCCTGGGTATATATGGCTTGGTTTGCTGGCTTTGGTTTGTTTTGACTGCTTTACTATTTGACATTTCAACACACTCGAAAGTCAATTTATACCCTCGTTTTCTCTTTCTCTCCAATTTTTCCTTATCCCTTCCCCAAACCTCCCCTGCCTTCCCTTTTTTTATTGTGATTTTGTTTTTTTTTTCTTTTAAAAAAAAAAAAATTATCTTCACCGACCTACCCTCTTTGCAGATTGGAATGCGTAGGCGAATTGGCCACAGGTAGAAGGACTTGAAGGGCTTGGCTGATAGTTTCTGGGCGGCTGAGATTTCCTCGAGCTGGAGAATTATGGAGTTTCTTCCTTTCCCTTTCCCTTTCCATCCTTTTTTTTTTTTTTTTTTTTTTGGTTTATATGGCTAACTGGGCTTAGACGCGCCCGTTGTGGGAGGTTTACTTTTATTTATTTATTTAATATATACCAATACATATATTAACCCTTTGAAAAGAAAAGAAAAGAAAACATTTGGTTGTGGTGGATTCGTACAAGTTCCTCTATGGATTGGATATATTCATTTTGTTGTATCCCCCTACTACTGGCGCTCACTCAATCGCCGCTTTCACACACTCTGATATCAGTACGCTGTTTGGACTTTAAGAAAAAGGAAAGTTAAGAGGGATGCGTTAATCTTCACCCACAGTTGAAGAAACATACCCCAACGGAAGGCCTTCTTGCACACAATACAAAGTCTTTTTATCTTTTACTGACATTCTATTCAGCTGATTTGATTGATTGATTTATGCTGCAGCTTCTTCTCGCATGTCTGCCCTTCAACCAGCAATAATCCACTGCCACGCATGCAGCAATTCCATTACAGATGGGCCGAAGGACAAACGCAATGGAAAATGAAAAAAAAAAAAAAAAAAAAAAGTAAATAATTCACTAATTTGACACTGGGGTTTGATCTGAGGACCATATCAGTGAACACTTGTCTGTCTCACTAATACTACGCGGTACCTTTACTGAATGGCCCTTTTCCCGCATCAACTTTGCTTCAGGCTCAGGTAGCAGGAGACAAGTGTAATAATAATAGTAATAAAGAATGATAATAACCATGAAGCTTGGAGAGAGTTGCACGTTCTAGAAACCAACGCCTGTTTCTAGCGCTAGCTCTGTGGGGTTGGTTTCGTTTTTCGGTGCTCCAGATCGTTAAAAGGCTTTCCCCAACCTGCTTCCTCCCCCACTTTACACCGGTTGTGGCGAACAATAATGAATGGGGTTGCTGGCGATTCGCCTATGTGGTCACCTCCTGGTTTCATACTGCACCTTTTTTTTTTTTGGCTTGAGTCTCCTTTTTTTTATTCCCTCCTTGGTATCAGTGGTGAACGGTGAAATGATGCACAGGCCAAGCTCTGGGAGCGAGCTCATCATTGAGAAAATGGCCCATTGATTGCTTTAAAGCTTGCATGGCGTAACAGATAGCTACCCT